TAAAAACATCTTACATTTTAGATACATTATGATACAGGAAATTGCTGGCTTTGTGTTTACAGAAGTACCTGACTATGCCTGACTTTTGTGCAGCCTACGGCTGCTCTAATCGCCGCAGTCTGCAAACAAGAACCCGTGGAATCACCTTTCACGTGTACGACATGACAATATTATGACTATAATTAGGATAATCGTTAATTACTTAGTGGATGTATGTACATTACAAGTCCTGCTACACAGGATCAGTGGGGCTATGTGAGATAATAGTATTGCAAGATTGATGTTGACCCAGCCTCTTCAGAATATGTTGCTACCATTTATTTACACAATTATGTAATGTTTCTTTTGGACACCTTTTTTATTACTCTTAGTGTGGTTGTCTTATTCTTACAGTATACATACATACATTACATACATACATACATACATACATACATACATACAATTACCCCAAAAATATGATAATTTCGGTGTGTATTTTTGTCCTTACCCTTAATGTTAAAGGAAAGAAGGGCGGACAATGTTGACAATAATTTATATATCTGGCTACCTTTCTCATGTTTTTATGGTTTCCCAAAACCGGAGAGAGGAGGAGGAAGTGGGAAGTTGGCCTAAGAAGGGACGGTTTTGTTTCCTCTGGCAGGACGCTGCTCTGCAGTGAGCACTTCAGGAGTGAGGACTTTGACAGGACGGGGCAGACTGTCCGGCTTAAAGATGGTGTTGTGCCAACAGTATTCAATTTCCCAGTTCATCTTCAAAGGGTATGTGTATCATTGGCCAACAATAATTCAAGGTGTATAAGATTGATTGATAAATATGTGATTAAATGTCACACTTTAGTTTTTCTTTCTGCAAGTTTAGGAATAAATAATGTGTTGTGTATTACAGCACATTTTAAATACTCAAAATGTCTTTAATTATGTTTATTTTAGCCGGAAGCAACAAGAAGCACAACCACTTCAAGAAGAGCGGAAGATGAACCTCAGCCTAATGTTGTGAGTATTCTGAATGTGGCCAAGACCAGAGAGATGGTCATTGATTTCAGGAGGGTGAGGACGTCTCTTCTACCCCTGTGCATTCTGGGAGAGGATGTGGCTGTTGTGGAGGACTACAAATACCTGGGAGTGCACTTAGACAACGGACTGAACTGGAGGATCAACACTGATGCTGTGCACAAGAAGGGGATGAGCAGACTCTATTTTCTGAGGAAGCTGAGATACTTCCACGTGTGCAGCAAGATGCTGGAGATCTTCTACCGGTCTGTTGTGGCCAGTGCGCTCTTCTTTGCTCCGGTCTGCTGGGGGGGCAGCATCAGAGCCGGTGACACCAGCAGGATCAATAAACTGATTAGGAAAGCTGGGTCTGTCATCGGCATCAAGCTGGACCCCTTTGAAGCTGTGGTGGAGAGGAGGACACTGAACAGGCTGTTGTCCATCATGGATAACCCCACCCATCCTCTCCACCTGCAGCTGGACAGTCAACGGAGCTCCTTCTCCAACAGACTGCTGCAGCTCCGCAGTGCCATAACTCAACAAATCACCTCTGGCTGGAAGATAACTCTCTGCTCCATAGTTTCTCTTGAATATAACCACGTTGTACATTTTACACATATATAATCTATTTAATATTTAACATTAATATTCCATATGCCTTATATTTATGTATATTATATATATAATATCCTGCCAAACTCAACATGTATATTTTCCTCTTTCTTTATTTTCTTTATTTTTCTTGCTTATTTCTAATTCATTGGAAAATGCTTTGTCCCTTATGCTGCTGTAACTAAAAATGTTTTCCCAAATTGGGATCAATAAAGTACCATCTAATCTTGTTTTATTTGCATGTAGAATGTCACTAACAAATGAGAGCATCATATGGCTTGCCAATCCTAAAAAACTATTTTCCATCTTCTCCACCCTCTTGGACCCTCCAAAAGCTCCTCCCCCCTCCTCACTTCTATCAAGCGACTTTGTTACCCACTTTGAAAAAAAGGTTGATGATATTCACTCTTCTTTTTCTGACTCACCTTTACTCACCGCTGGGTCACCAGACCCTCCTTCCACCAACACACTAACCTCCTTTTCCCCTCTCTCTCCAAGTGAGGTTCTTACCCTCATTACCTCTGCCCGCCCTACCACCTGTCCTCTGGCCCCTATCCCTTCAAACCTCCTTCAGACTATCGTTCCTGATATTCTACCATTTCTCACCCATTTCATCAACACTTCTCTAACTTCTGGTCACTTTCCAAACAGTCTCAAGGAGGCAAGAGTAAACCCTCTCCTAAAGAAACCCACTCTCAACCCGTCTGATGTTATAAACTACAGGCCTGTCTCTCTCCTCCCGTTCCTGTCTAAATCACTTGAACGCGCTGTCTTTAAACAACTCTCCTGTTATCTCAATCAGAACAACCTTCTGGATCCGCACCAGTCTGGTTTCAAGGCAGGTCACTCCACAGAAACTGCTTTCATTGCTGTCACGGAGGAACTGCACACTGCCAAAACTGCATCCCTCCCCTCTGTCATCATCCTGTTGGACCTGTCTGCTGCATTCGACACGGTGAATCATCAGATCCTCCTTCGCACTCTCCAAAAACTTGGAGTTTCAGGCTCTGCACTTTCCCTCCTCACCTCATACCTGAAAGACCGTACCTACAGGGTGACTTGGAGAGGGTCTGAGTCCGACCCTTGTCAATTAACTACGGGGGTCCCTCAGGGCTCTGTTCTTGGTCCCCTCCTCTTCTCCCTGTACACAAACTCGCTCGGATCAGTCATTAGCCCGCATGGTTTTTCTTACCACTGCTACGCTGATGACACCCAATTAATTCTGTCCTTTCCCCGCTCAGAGACCCAGGTCGTTGCACGCATCTCTGCTTGTCTAGCTGACATCTCTCAGTGGATGTCTGCTCACCACCTCAAGCTCAACCTTGACAAGACTGAGCTGCTCTTCCTCCCGGGAAAAGATTGTCCCACTCTTGACCTAACAATCAACATCGGCACCTCAGTTGTTTCCCCGACTCAGACTGCAAGGAATCTGGGTGTGACCCTAGATAACAACCTGTCCTTCACTGCAAACATCGCTGCTACAACCCGTTGCTGCAGATACATGCTTTACAACATCAGGAAGATACGTCCCCAGCTGACTCAGAAAGCAACTCAGGTTCTGGTCCAGGCTCTCGTCATCTCACGCCTAGACTACTGCAACTCCCTCCTGGCTGGTCTACCTGCATGTGCCATCCGACCTCTGCAGCTCATCCAGAATGCAGCGGCTCGTCTGGTCTTCAACCTTCCTAAATTCTCCCACACCACTCCGCTCCTCCCCTCCCTTCACTGGCTTCCGGTAACTGCTAGAATCCACTTCAAGACACTGGTACTTGCTTACCATGCTGCGAATGGATCTGGCCCTTCCTACATCCAGGACATGGTTAAACCGTACACCCCAGCGCGTGCACTACGCTCTGCATCACGCTCTACAATGTAATGTAATGTAATATTAAATCCTTTATCTCGGTGGTACCCAGGAAGGTCTATGATGGTGTTACTAGGAGAGCCCAATATAATTTGAGGTGGTACTCTGTGTAAAAGGTTTGAGAACCACTGGCCATCTCACTTGCTCTATGTCACTCATACACTTGAATAAACATGTGCAAACATTGAAACTACACCCAGGGATTGGCAACCTTTACAATCAAAATAGCCATTTTTGTCCAGAGCCTCAAAACATATGTTTGCCTTATAAGGGGAAAAGCCTATTAAGATCAATTTCTTAAAAGTACGCTGAGTTGTGTTTTCTGTTGGAGAATGTACAACAAATCAGGCTCACAGTATTGATAAGTGAACATTGAATTGTTAAAAAAGTAACTTATTAATTTCCATATTACTATTATTTATATATTCGTATAATTGTGATAAATGAGACAGAACTGGCCTGTCTGTGAGCTCATTTTATGTTGGTTTGGTTCTTCTGATAAAGGTGTGAATATCTAAATAATATACCACCATATGCTATTGTCATTAGTTGTGTCCCTATTCTTCAAGCTAAGGCATTGCTACATTAACAACTCTTGGCTTACAGAGTGGTAACATGAGACCGATTTTTATATATAAAATATAAATATATTTTAATTTTATAATTTATTTTAAATATTAACAATATAATACAAATAAATGGAAATATATAAACCGGCAAATATTTAATATAAATACCTTGTGTGTGTGTATAGCTATTGCTTTATCTGCTTAATGTTATTTTCATAAGAAAGTCCATGACTATAAGTATACAGTATCATAACTACATCTTTGATGTTTATAAAAAACCAAACCGTTTGAAAATTGGTTGAAAATTGAGCAAGCTATGGTTATTTAAATAGTAAACCATAATGTTATGAATGAGAGCACTACCTGTAGCAAGATGGCGGCCATGTGGCAACGTCGGTCTCCATTGGCCAGCAGCGCGGGTGAGTCATCTAGTGTTTATATATATCTATGGCCAGAACAGCATTAAGCTGTGAAGCCAGGGAGCATCAACATAAATGTGGCACACACTGCCCTCTGCTGGCCGCGGGTCGCCAGGACATACACTGTTAAAGGCAGTTTCTTCTTTTTACTGTAGTTGTCAACTCAGGTTTTACACTTAAGTACACGTAGAAAAGGTAACAAGTCCTGCATTCAATTCCATTCTTGGATAATTGCAATCAAAATATATTTGAGAAACAAAAGAAAATTATTTGTTAAGAGTAATGGCTCTTTATATGCAGTCTATGGTAATAGCACATTTTAGAGTAACATTTGTTCAAAAACAGGATTATATTTGTATATTAACGCATTAATGCGTCTAGTGGAAAGACAACAATGAGTGATGGGGGATCTTCAATTTTCTGGAAGCGTTCCATGTTTCAGCTACAGTGTTAGACAGCTAAAAAATGAAGTTTAGTGAGTGCATCACATTAGGTTTCCAACCAGAACTGAGGCTGCGTCAAAGGAAAACAGGACAATGAAATCTCAGTTCAACTAACACAGAGTTGTATTTTATTAAAAGTATCATTGGAGTGCACAGCACCGACTGAAATCCTCTTTGTACAGAAGAGCAACAATTTTCTCTGCAAATAAATTGTGACTTCGAGGAGTATTTTTTTTTCATACGTTTTTTTTGTCAGTTACAAATGAAACATAGAAAAAAAGAAAAAAGTTCAAGGTAACACCAACACAAACTGTGCTCTCTAATCTCAACCAAAAAGCCACGCAAGTCCCTTTTGGAAAGTGCCCTTAATAACTTAAAGGCAACAGGCACCGGGTGCATGTACATTCAATACTTCTGAGGTATTTTGGCTCAAATAAATACAAGACTTTTGGTCTCTAGCTTAATAATACAGTGACACTAGTGGTACAAACTCTGCCTCTAGCCACCTGACAACAACATTCATACCCAATATCTAAACAAAAATAATTCCTATTGCAGGCTCTCCACATAATATCACAGCAGAGTGTGCATATTGCACATGATCTTACACCCTATGGTTCAAAGTGCTGTACCAATCTCATCAAGACTCTCCAAATTAAAAACACCTTTTTTTAATCATTAAACGTATTGTGTTATGTTCAAGAGAAACACATCTTCCCTTCCCCCCAAAAAATCCTGAAAAGCCCTCATCTGTCAAAGCACGGAGCAGCGCAGGTGTAATGCATGTTGACTTGGTAAGCCCTGTTGGGGAAGCCGGACTTTGGTTCCTGGGAGGCAGCAGTGATGGGCTGGGTGCTGGGGTTGGGGGCCTGGAGGCCGGCAGCAGAGTGGCTGAGGTAGGAGGCAGGCCTTAGGGGGGGGGGCCAGGCCCGGGGGCTGAGCCTGCTGGGGGGGGTACTGCACGCTGGACCGGTGAAGGTACTGGGCCACGGAGGTTGTCTGGCCTGAACCGTGGTACACCGTCTGGCCCTGCTGCTGGGGGGGGGGGGCCGGGCTGCTGGAGCTTCTGCTTGTTGGCCTCTTTGACGTCACTGTCATGAGCACTAGAAAGAGGAACGAAAAGAGCTGATGAGTTATGAGGTCTAGCCAGTAAATGACACAAATGAATAAAGTCAATGGGTACTTAATATGTTTTATGTTTGTTTTAGCTCTATGAAACCTGATGTACTTATATGATTCTGTTTTCTTCAAGTTTGTATCTTGTTGGTCGAATGCACTTGTAAGTCGCTTTGGATAAAAGCGTCAGCTAAATGTAATGTAATGATTTAAATAAGGTCTGTTGTTGACAGACCTTATTTAAAATCTTTTATTTTAGGGCATAAAATATGTCAACAAATTCCCCACTTGAGAATTTGGAGCTTTTACACATCTTAAAAAGACGGCTGCTAACAAGTGGCTAAATAAGACTACTACAAAATTGTGCTAATTTCTGAAGTGTATCATGAACTTTTGTTTGCCAAAGCTGTTTTCTTCTGCAAAAATCCAATGGAGAAATCCCATTGGCCTTTGTTGTCGCAACCAGGGCGATACTGACTTCTTAGTTGGCCTACAAAAATACATTATCACTACAGAGTTCTATTGCAGCTGGTATGGCATGAGATGTAGTAAATGAATATATCACTAACATCGAGTACCAATTGTATGTGTTACTAACACAGTGGTTCCCAACCTTTTTCAGTCAGGCCCCCCTTGGGTAAGTGGAAATATTTTCGAGACCCCCCTTACCCGGTTCCCACCGAGATGGTAGAATTAATTGTATATAGTTGTACAAACATTACATTTTCGCTGCTAATAATAACAAGACACAACTATCATTTTATATTTTATTATGGATGAACGTCTTGTTTGTAATGACAGATGATCCTGTGCCACTGTGAAATAATGAGGCCTAATTGAAACAATGTTTTTACTTTAACAGTATTTTTATAGGTTATTTTTTAAGGGAAAAACTAAACAAATTGAAAACAGAATTAACATTGATTTATTTTATGTATAGTGTGGATTATGGGCTGCAGTGGTGGTATTAACCAAGTAGATTTACTCAAGTAGCCTACTGTACTTATTTTGAGGTACTTCAGTATTTCCACTTTTGCTTCTTTGTAATTCTGCTCCAGTACAGAGGTAAATGGTGTACTTTTACCCCACTACATGTATTTAATACCTTTAGTTATTTTACAGATCTGGATTAATGATGTGAAATATAATCAACTCTTAAATCAAACTTTAGTTACACCTGGAGTAAATTCACAAGCTACCCTGCAGTATACCACTTTTACTTAAGTACTTCTCCCACCTTACATGTAATTGGAGCAACAGAACTCAGAGTTAAGGAAGTTGAAAACGGTGCATTTCTTCGTATGAATATGATGCCTTTTGGCCAGCGGGTGGACGGATTGCTCGTGTTTACGCGGAAATACTTATGGCGAATGAGCATTGACCACATCGAGCTCTGTAGATTTTTACTTTTGAACGCTCTGTTCTCCACCGACAGATCTCTGTGTGCACGGCGCTGCACAGAGAGAGAGATCTCCCCACCGACCACGTTAGATGTCAAGGTAGATGTATGCCTCATCATACTTTGTTGATTTGGGCATTATAGCTGAAAGGCTTGTCGTGGGCTCACCCACTTTTCTTTTAACTGCTGGTTGTGTTAAACATGTGTCCATTTTATTGATTTTACGAGCAAACAATGTTTGTTTACAACTTCTTCCCAAGCTTCACGCGCCCCTTCTGCAATAGAGCTGCGCCCCCCAGGTTGGGAACCACTGCTTTAACAGAGCTACAGACAGATACTCACATGAGTAGTTTCTCAGCACATAGGACCAGGTTGTCCCAGGTGTAGCCTGTGAGGCTCACCAGTCGGGGGGGCCATGTGGGGGACAGGTGGAGGATGAGGCGGGAGGTAGCCACACACGCAGCAGACACCAGCGAGGGGGAGAAACACAAGAACTGATGATCTAAGGGGAGAAAGAGAATCCATTAGCAGGTGAAGCAAATAACTGCACTGCTCTACACGCTATAGCTAGTAACTTGTTGAGGTCTCCATATTAGGTTGAATACTTAGAATGAAAGTTAATATAATCACATATATTCTTGTATAACCCACAATGAAAATGCTTCAAATGTTATGATTTTCTATATTTACAATACAAAACACAAGTGGTTTGTTAAATTGAGATTGAGGCCTATAATGATTTATGGGTGTCACTGATAAGGGAGGGGAGACAGTTTCTTCCCTCTTCCCTTACAGCAGTACACAGGGAGGGGGGCTCCTGACTTTTTGGAGAAACACTGAGGCCCCAAAAAGGTGTTTGTGCCATAGCTGAGAATAATATTTTTGCAAGTCCTGCACACTAGAGGCCATGCCCAGTTTCCACAAATATGGGTATGGAGGAGGTGTCTTTAGGTTTTTCTGTCCTGTTTCGAGCATACAAATACTAGCAGAGAGGGAGCAAACTCGAGAGAGGGGGGGTTTTTCCCCTGGTATGCTCCCTCCCGGTAAGCTCTCTCCCTGGAGAGCTGGGTTTTTGCCTCGGTAAGGTTCTCTCAAACTTGGTAAATATCGCTTGAATTTCTTTGTTGAATGCGGAGTGAATTTCTTTGTTGAAAGAGTATAACCCTGCCACCTATGAGGAAGGTCCTCTGAATTCATGCGGGACTAGATGTGTAAACGAAATGATTTTTTGAATGCAGAATTCATGGATTTGTTGAAAGTTTAGCACCCTGCCACCTGTGAGGAAGGTCCTCCGAATTCATGCGGGACTAGATATCAGTAATTACCGTTTTTTAGCTGGTAAAATGTATTAAAAACCGGTCAATTAAAAACCTGCCGGTCAAAATGTCCGGTAATAATTAGGGATGCTCCGTTCGATTGGCCGCCGATCATTATCGGCCGATATTCACTCTTAATAGTTTGATCGGTGCTCTCTATAAAGGCCGATCAGGAGAGCTGGATCTGATCGATATGGATATAAACGCGAGTGAAGAGTAACCGGACGCGAGAGAGAGATCAGCTGCTGAGTCTGATGAGACAAGCAGCTCATGATCACCTGAAGCTCCGCTCACTGTTTAGCGAGCTGCATGAGAAACTGACGGGATGTCAGGAGAGAGGGAGGGAGAGAGGAAAAGAGAGGATCCGTTTCTCCCGTGTTATTTTCCAAAGTTAATGTAAACTTTTGAATAATGTACTTTATCTACTATATTTAGTTTGTTTGAATGTAATAATTATGTTGTTTGTTGTAGCGAATAATGTATTGAAAAATTAATCGAATCGATCTGTTACGATTATAAACTGAAGCAATATAAAAATGACTCCCATTAACTGAGTTTTAAACATCAGCATATCCGGTCATAGTCCGGTAATTACCTGCTAATGGAAACTCTGCTACACAATTATTATTATTATTATTATTAGGGCCCGAGCACGGAGCGCTAGGACCCAACGGCGTCCTAGCACGAAGTGCGAGGAACCTAATGTTATTGTAGGTATTAATATTATTCCGCGCCATCTTTCCTGTTTTTGAGGGCTTTACCTCAAAAAGTTGTATAATTTTGCACGGACGCCAGGACCGGTAAAAATTGCAACATTCTGGAGTCAATGGGTTCAAATTGTCCAAAATACTCGCTAGTGCCACCTATGGCCATTCCCATTTTGTGAAAGATTTACAAAGTCGCACCGTAAGTCCAAATGACCTGACATTTTGCACACTTATCCAGGTGGACCTGCTCTACAAATAATCCTATTGGACCCCTAAGCTCCGCCTACTTTTATTTTAATTAGCATAATGTTCAAAACAGTGAAATATTCACTTAAAATTTCAATTTTTTGTTTTTCAACACCAAACTTCGTATACAGCATCGGTGGACAGTCAGACACATTACCGTAGCAAATGAGCATGTTCAGACGATAAATATTGCTGCCATGAATCAAAACGTACTCGAAAAAAGGCGGGGCTTAGAAAGAAATGCTCATAACTTATCAGCAATGTATCCAAACATCACAGATTTTGGTGGATAGGTTCAGTCTGTCTTGGGGAATAGGCACACCAAAGCATTTTCATTTTGGACTATAGGGGGCGCCAAAAACAACACCAATTTATAACTCGAGAACGGATGGACACATTTCTTTTTTTACACATACTCTGGGGGTGAGTATGAACTGAGATTGAAAGTGTCGCAACAAATGCAGAATGTGGGCGTGGCCTATACTTTTTTTTAAACTGTGATAGCATAAAATTAGCTTCAGACGCAAAACTTGGGACACGTCACAGCCCACGACTTTTTCGGGAATGTAAAAAAAAAACGTAATTTTTCAAAAAAAACAGCTCACTAGTGCCCCCTATTGTGTGGTAGTCACATATAGTTTCTCAGAAGTTCACGAATTTTGGCACAAACATTCCTCATGGAATTGCGGACATATATTTCTAATTAGCTTCCATTAGCCCCACCCCCGACAAAGTCGGCCATTTTTTTAAGCACATTCTTGCGAACTCCTCCTAGGGGAATGATCGGAAAAATTTCAATCCAGGAAAAGTTCAGCCCCTATCCAATATGATGCTAAATTGTGAAGTCAATTTTTGATAAATCAATCGTGGAGGTCGTAAGCCAACAGCGAATACACAATTTGACGATTTACATGTCGCAAATTACTCCAAACTACTCGGATATAGTTTTCCAATATTCACGAAATGCTGTATATACATTACGCTTATGAATCTGGACATATTTCAAATTGACTTCCATTATCCTCGACCCCCAGGAAGTCGGCCATTTTTTTAAATGTGCGTTTTTCATGCATTTTAAGCACATTTTCTCAAATTCCTCCTAGGGAAATGATCGGAAAAATTCCAATCCAGGACAATTTAAGCGCATAACCAAAGTGATGCTACATTGCGAAGGAATAGTCAATCGCTTGAACGTGGCGCTCGTAGGCTAACGGAGAATGTACCAGTTTTGACCATTTATATGTCAGATACTACCTTGCTACTGAGACCCTCCTGTCTGCCCGGCACATCAACTCTCACACACACACACACACCTACACAATGTACAACACACACATACACTCTACAAAACACACCTACACATTGTACAACAAACACAAACAGTTCGCAGAGCTGTGCTTCGTTGACATAAGTCCAGCCATGCGTCACGCCTCTTTTAAACATCACTGATGGCTGAAATCGACTCCGGAGAATAAATCAGTGTACCCTCGGTTATAGCTCCTCCAGAGAGACTCCTCTCTCCTCTATATCTTTGTATCCTTTGTTATAGCTCCTCCAGAGAGACTCCTCTCTCTCTCTCCTCTAAATCAGTGTATCCTCAGTTACGGCTCCTCCAGACAGCCTCCTCGAAAATCGATCCTCGACGAGCCTTCAGAGAAATTTGTTTTCCTTCGAGACGGTGCGCCGACATCCGTTTCCGGGTCACTGCCGGAGGACCTGGGAGTCTGGGACGCGAAAATGAGAGAAATGACAGACGGCTAATTTCCCAGGACTCGCGCACGTCTGCTTGACACCGGGACGACCGGCCGCCCTCCCCGACAGGCACACGGACGCGAGGGCCCGCTCATCACTGCGCGAACTTCTGTGACCGCAGTTTTAATTATTATTGAAACATCACCGGTAAGTTTCAAATTTGTCCGGTAAAATTCATTATTTCCGGACATTTGACCGGCAAGAAAAAAATTCTAGCGGAAACCCTGGTGTATGTGAATTGATTTGTTGAATGAAAGTGTGAATGTGCTTTTTATTATCACCGGTCATTTATGAGGAGATGCCTCTAAATTCTGTTGGACGATTTTAAATATCACAACTGAATTGGGCAGTTGAAGTTACAATTTAGTGTAATACATGTAAAACTGTGAATTGAGGTTTCATATTAGAACATGACCACAGCATGATATGTTTTGTAGGATTGTCATGTTGTAACGAGAGAAGGTAGAAACCCTGTATAAGTGTGGACCAATTTTTCTTCAAATAAACTGATCCCACCTTTTGGATTGGGACAACTTAAAAGACATCTGCGCTCTCCTCTCCTGCTTGAAAGGCAATACATGCACACCACCACACTCACACTTAGGTAGGGCCACACCTCATTACCAATATAAAAATCATTCGGGATCGCTTAAACAGATTTAGCGGGTCGTCTGAATTGAAACGGCAGTTAATTGAACCTGGTTCTTCAGGAGTTAATAGAGGTGAGATCTTGCTGACGTTGATGGATCTGAGCAGTAAACTTACAGAGACTCAATAACTTCGGTTTGGTCAATTAGTAGGTCTGAGTAATTCGCCGGAATAAATTATCAGGCCTCCCGACTCCAAGAAACTTTAAAATCTTTCAAAATACAGTTTTGACAGTAATCTAACTTTTTGATGTTTGTTAGCATGTACAGAAATCATCATGGCCAAACATTTTCCTAAAAATAGCATACAAATTGTTTGGGCTGTCAAAGCAGTCATCACATTTCTTTCACAAAACGACAGTTATCACAAAGAGTGCTACATCAAGTGAAAGAAAAGCAAGTCAGATGGTACAGCTAGCCTTAGCTTTATCTTAAATTATACTACTAATTGGTATTTATCCAGCTGTAATCAAAATGATTAAAATCTTGAAGCACCATGATCATACCAAGTGTTACATTACTGCATTCACTCATAAATTAGCATAAAAACCAAGCTAAACTCATGCTAAAGCTAACTAGCTTATCAGAGTAGCTGCCAAGCTAAGCTTTCTTGTGGAATTCATGTGATTTGTTGTAGTAGCCTAAATCTACATTTAAAATGTAATACTTTCCAATTTATAAAAATAGATATGAATAAATGTAATGTATTCAGCATCGCTGGAGAATACCTGCACTCTCTTGTTGACTATGTTGTGTTTTGTGAATTGTAGCTGTGTGCAGCAGTTTTTCCCAAGCAAAATTTCCCATTGGGGACAAAATGTATTTATAATGTATAAATAATAATACAAATTTCTTCACAAAAACAGTTACATTTAATCAAAAGAAATATACATATAGAACCACATTTTGCATGTAGATACGTCATTACTTCTCCTTTAATTTTTATAAAGAATAGCCAATTGAAGATATTTTTTTGAATAAAAAGCAGAACAAAAAAGACAAATCAAGGCATTAAACCTGTTGTATACTTTACATAGGTTGCTGCTGGTTAGCCTGGAAACTTACTTTATATAAACACTTTGGAGATCTCTTCAAGGACCCCTGCATGTAATTGGACCCCACATTGAAAGCCATATGAAAGACAGCAGAGTGTGTTTGGCAGGTTCCCATTACCTGACGAAATGTCACTCACCTTGCAAGGAAACCTCCAGGAAGTAATCAGCATACTTGGCCATGTATAGTTTGGTCTTCTCGAAGCTCGTCATAGGCCAGCCATCATGGAGGTCCCCCTCTTGGACAGCCATAGACAGGTAGTACTCTATGAAATGAGCGGCTGTGGGGATGTACAGGTTCCACTGGAAGGTTTCCAGCAGCAGCAGCTCCATGTGAAGTAGACCCTGCTTGGTCAGCACCAGGTTCATGGAAATCATGCAGGCCAGGCTGTTCAGGGTCTCCAGCTTGGGCACCCGGTCCTCCCTTTCCTCAAATTTACCTGTGATGATTAAGAGTTACAAATCATCACGAGCAAACCAGAAACACGTGCTGGAGCGGGAGGTCATCTACGCACTTACTGGCCAGAAGGAGACATGAGAGTGAGACCATGTGAAGCTGCTGCACCGTGACATCATAGCGGTCCATGAAGAGGTCCAGCAGGTAGACGGCCAGGTGTCGGGCCGCAGGACACAGCCTGAAGCGGTTGCTGACGATGGCTATGAGGTCTGCGAAGTACCGCCTCAAGTTGAGCTGAGGAGACTGGCCTTTGAAGGAAGGCAACTTGAGCTCCTTTTTAGACGACATATGGGATTTTATGTTCACTACATTAAAGTTTGGTTACAATGCAATGTATATTTGCAAACGTATACAAAAAACACAGCTAGAAGGATCAAGTAATTTCGGTACTAGATCTGCTTAGAGTATGAGTTGACCAATCGGTTAATCGATTGCCCAAAAATTAAACACTACCTTTTTAAATAATTGATAATAGTTTATTTTTTTAAGGCAAAAATTACATAAAAAGTAGTTTTCTGAACTTATGGGTTTTTCGATTTTACAAAAAAATCACAACAATGTTCTTTTTTAACAGCAAAACGCTTTTTCATTACATTTGTATGCAGATTTATTTAAAAATTATTATAATGAAACGAAATTCAATAACAAAAAAATCAATATAGTAGTTTTACAATACAACAGTATTTTATCTATCTCCCAAATACATATTTTTTTCATTATCGGCTTGATTGGTGTATGCCTAAAAAAAATACAAAAAATGTAATCATAAAATGCTGTTATCAGACCCTGAAATATGGGGATTTCCGTTGCTCTGTTTAAAATAAATGTGTGACGTGCACAATCTGTTTTACTGTGTATGACCCCATTCTTTAATTAAAAAACACAGCCTACAAATAAAAATGAATTATCAAAATATTTTATTTTTATTAAGAAAAGTGATTGTAATATAAAAACAGGTATATGTTGTGATTTTGTTTTATATCGACTTATTCTGTATATTCCTAAAAGAAGAATACATCACATACATGCAATAACTAAAATATCCAATCCTTAAAAAAGGTAGCATTAATATAACACAAGGTGTTCTTAACAACATTTGGCATGACACAGGATTAAAAATAAGTGTATTGTCATGGTTGATGTGACCTGGCAGCCATCACTAAAGTTATCCCACTCACTTTGTACCGCAGCGCCTGGTAGATGTCTGCAGCCAGCTGTCCTTTCCACCATTGGTCCTCCAGCTCCATTTGACACAGTGCTTCTGAAACCTCTGAAATGCAACACATGGGAAAGACAATCAATCATAAACCCCTTCATGTTGAAGATGCTCTGCACAAACTAACTTGCTGACGTTTCATGCAACAGCTGCATAACTGTCCACGATAGCGGATCAGAAGTAGGCACAGTGATCGCTCAATCTCTGTTTAGTATTTTTCTGCACTAGGGATTAAAAAGTGTTTGTCTGAGGCTCAACAGAGGACACTCACCCTATGAGCACATGTAGAGAATATTTCGGGCAGTTTCACTGAAGTAAACTTCAAACCAGCCGGACATGCTTGTTCACAGTCATTGTTGTAGTGGGTGAGGCTGCGAGGCTCAGCACGAGTTCAGCAAACACAACTGCTGCCGGAAATAGCAGCTTTAAACTGAAACCACTGGTCAAATAAATCTGTGTCGGCCAAAATGGGGCGTTTAGCGGGCTGAAAATAAAAACTGGTGGTTAAACAGCTTTTGATCTAGACCTACATTATTGCGAATTTATGACATGCGTCATCACGCTTGATATACACCTAAAATAACCCCCTAAAGTTCAAGTTGAATGGAAATATTAACCAGGAATATTGAAATCTGATTGTTAACTATCTCTCAGAGGGAACTTGTGGGGTGTCCGATTAGCACTTGAAAAGCATCACTCCATTGTCAGGACTGGCAGTGCACACAGGACGCAGCCAATTAAGTATAGAAACTATGAACAACCAATCACAGGCCAAATGCCAATAACTAAACAAAATAAATGATACCATAACAAGTAAGGATCAATTACGAATTATGTGACCTTGTAAATGGCACCCCATGGAAGAACCCATCGAGAAATTACTATTTTAAAATGTATAGAGGGATTATTTAAAGATTGCCATCCTTGAAAAAAAACAGTTATAATTTTCAGATAACAGAATAAGTAATGAAAATAAATCTCTAACATCAAAAAAATATTCTTAACGTTGTGTCTCACATATCTTTCATTTTATCTTTAATTGTATTAATCTCTTATCTGTGTAAATCTGTGTGGTCCTGTTTTTCATTCGTACCCTGTTGCTGTTTGAACTACTGAATTTCCCCATGGGGATTAATAAAGATCCATCTTATTTTAAGACAAAAATTAAGAACTACAACTCAAGCCATACCTACCTTTTCGATGATGTTAGAAATGTGGAAATAAAATCTATGTAACATTACATGGAATAGATTATTTTAAAAGGGACCGCTCACCCGAAAACTCTACAGCAATGTCTCTTTACAGAAATCCTCACACGGTCAAGATAATACAGAGACCTTGAAGTAGGTTGTAAGCAGTATCATGTAGGAACTATTTTCTTGGTGTATGGATTAACCTGAGCCTGACCAGATAAGGATTTATGTCAGGAGACATTGCTGTTCATCTTTTCACATGTATTATTTTGGCACTTTGAGTGCCAGAATCCGTGTCCCATTTATGAATTAGTATAGGACATCTATTGGGCCGAAATCTTCAACACTCAACATCTCACACCAAAACAATTAACACATTTAAATAATTAACACAACAGGTTAGAAGAAGCATATACACTTTGGGGTTGATCAGTCTTCTGATAATCATGACAGACAGCAGTTTACACAGCGTCTATCTCATTTGAAAACGAGTGCCTTTCACCTCTGCTAAATGGTAAATCAAGCCACTCTGTTTAATACCTGGATTTAAAAAAAAAAAGTTCCTGGAAATATACGTACAACATGTAAACGTACGCCATGGTTTTTTATGTGTTGGACTAGAGGTTTCTCAAATGTTTAGATAAAAGTAATTTTAAGCCCTCGTTGGGGACCTGTCCCCCACTTTGGAACCACAGTGTGACTATAAGAGCGATTCAGTAATGACGTACTTTTGTAGGCTAACCAAGAGTGGCATCTAGCAGAAACACACACACACATCTATGATATACATCAGCAGGATCATGTAAAACATAACTGTAGATGTAAAACAAACCATATTACAGTCTAAACGTGGACTAGTGTGCAGCGTGAAATCTTTTAGTAATCTTTTTTTAGCCAGTTGTTAGCAACTGCTGTTGAAAGACACGTAAAAGCTTAATTCATGAGTGGGGTATTTACTGACATGTACAAAAAAGTGAGAATTTCCTAAACTTGTGGTAACCACACAAAACACACAAATTATTTGAGGCATCTAATCAACAATTAATTCAACCATTGAATTTGAGACGAGGAAACCGAGAATTGCTTAAATGCTAATTGATGTTTGAGTTAAGGACTCATTCCTGCACCACTCTTTAGACATCCTATTTGCTTTGAACTGATATTGTACTGTAGAAACAATCCGAAAAATTCCATCTGTCACCATCCCTGTTTGCTTCGTCTCTTATTAGCTCGAGGCACCTTGACACTGATGGGAATGTATCTGAACAATGGGAAATACAAATGTTTATGTGCATGAATGTGAATGCTAATGTGGAAGTAAAAACAAGTTAAATCCCGTATTTTGTTGACCTAAAACAGTGGCTGTGCACGTTTCAAGTTAATGTTGAAAAAACAATTCAATGAATAATTATTTGAGTAGAAACTGAAAGTGGGTCAGCGTGCCCTATAGCAGCGCAGCACAGTTCAATTTGACCCAAATAGGTTAAAGCGACATTAATGTTACAATGACTTCCCTGTCTTTCATATTAACTAATGCACTGTGCCAGGCTACCTGAATACTTAATGTTGGCGCATAGGAGAAACTGATTGTATAATTAAAGTCCTCAGCTGATACATCACTTATAGCCATGAGCTTTCAGACAGCACAGGACATTTTAGAGGGAGCTAGAGAGCTTTGGGTTTCTAATGTGTTGAGACATTACTTAGAGAAAATCAGATGTATTTAATGATGGAAGGAGGTGAACGTGTGTGGACAGGACACTTGTAACAGTGAATCAGTCACAAAGCTCCTTCGAAGAGCCCATAAAGAATTAATTGAATATTTGACTATGTATTATGAGCTAATTATTAATATATCAGCTATTAAAATGGGCATCATCAGTGATTATCAGTCTCATGGAAGTGGGTTAGAAGGGGTCTGCTGCACCAACTAGCATAGTATGTTTTTATTATCTGTTCACATTGTTGATTACCAAAAAAAGGAATAAAAAAATCACACGGATCCAATCATGACAATAGCAAAGAGTGGTGACATAGGACAAGGAGCGAGAAACTAAAACACACAACTTTTTACAGGGGAGATTTTTGCTGGCGTACTTTGTAAACCTTCAACATGTTGTGGTCTTTGTGTTCACAACATTAAGTTTCACTTCACTTAACATAACAATGGTAGCCCTAATCTTCGAATCTGAGTGCTTTGGTTTCCGTTTGTAGTCCGACTCGTTTTTACCAATCATGTTTGAGCTGCTTTGGTTGCATGCAGGTAAACAGGGTAATTGGAGAGTATTAACTTCCATGATTTGTCCTTTTAGCAGATTTATACCTTGCACACCTGCTGCTAGTGAAACCATCTGGCCGTGGAAGTCTTCTCTCAATTCCAACTCCAGTCTTGCACCTTAAGTTACTAATTGGACTATTAACAATTAGTAAAGATAGGAGGTATGGGCCTGGATATTTGCTGGCTTCACCGGAACTTCAGAAATACAGCTCCTTTTCCTAAAATGCTTATTATTGTCCAACAGATAGTCTCGGGTTCAGATTGAGCAAACTAAATCCATGATCTTTAACCTAACGGCCCGTCTACACTACAGGCATCGAAAAATGCTTTCAACGCTTCGCCCATTCATTTGAATGGGGTGACGTAGAAGATTTTGAATCTTCGCCGAACTGCATTGTGGGGAGCGGAGCATGGCTTTGCAAGCATCGTGAGCATCAAAAGTTGAGCAATGTTCAACTTTTGATGCTCCCGATGCTTTCGAAGCTTTCGAAGCCAATCAAATCCCGTTTATGCAAATCCCGCCAGTACAAGCGCTAGCCAATCAAACCGCGTGCAAGCTGGGAGAGCCAGACCGCAGTTCATTTCCTCATATTCCAAACGAGAAATTACGGTATTTCCGACCAGAACTATTTACCGGGATACAAACCGGAGGAACCAGGCATGGAGGGAAAATAATCTTGAAGCTGGGCGTGTCTGAGGCTTGGCGATTTCTTGCGCCCAAGGCGACCAACAACCAATCACATGAATCTCCCGCCCCCGACATACAAAGCAATAGCAATGTTAAAACGAAGTAAACTGGATATAAAATCCCCAAACAGGCGAAAACCTACCAGTTTCACCCACTGTCTCTGCCACCTCCCTCCATGCCTGGTTCCTCCGGTTTGTATCCCGGTAAATAGTTCTGGTCGGAAAGAACCGGGTGATTTGCTACCGTAATTTCTCGTTTGGAATATGAGGAAATGAACTGCGGTCTGGCTCTCCCAGCTTGCACGCGGTTTGATTGGCTAGCGCTTGTACTGGCGGGATTTGCATAAACGGGATTTGATTGGCTGATGCCAAGCATCGAGCCTCAAAAGTTGAACATTGCTCAACTTTTGATGCTCACGATGCTTGCAAAGCCCCGCTCAGCAAGCCACAATGCAGTTCGGCGAAGATTCAAAATCAACTACGTCACCCCATTCAAGTGAATGGGCGAAGCGGTGAAAGCATTTTTCGATGCCTGTAGTGTAGACGGGCCCTTAGACTTAATAAGTTGCAGTTGTCTAGTGTAAATGTTAAGAAGTTGCAGTATTTTTGCACAAACCAAAAAAAGAGGTTGCAGTTTTGGTGCTCAAATCTATCATTTGTTTTGGTTGCTTTCAAAACTAAATTTTTACTTGTCATTTTCAAGTTTTACACATTCAGAAGAAGTAGTATGTTACATTTGGCCTGTCTTACGCAGTATACTGATAAAATGTATTTGTGTAACTTATAACTATTAAAACGAGGGTGCAGCATCAGCTTTATTCACATGTAAGCTACACATAAAATGAATTTGTGCTGTAATCAACCTCACATTCTTTTTACTTGTTTATATGTTCTGTAGGATGCATTAGTGCAAAGACACCGTGGTTTCATGTTGTGCTTAAAAGAGCAGTCTGGGGATTGTGGCTGCATGCAGGGGGGGGGGGAGGGTCTTAAGAGGATTGGTGATTGTAGCTGCTGTGTGGCAGAAGCTGTTGAGCCGGTGGGCTAGTCTGGTTCCTAATGGGCTGGAAATGTCTCCCAGAGGAACAAATGGTGTCCTGCGTGGAGGGAGCTGGTGGCAGTCCTTTCTGTGCTTTCACTCCATTGGTGTCATGCAGTGCCTTTGGTAAAGGGCGGCTAACAGCCATTGACTTGCACAGCAAAGGGAACAACTCATCGCTGTTTTTACTCTGAACTGACATACATACCAAAGTAGAGGGTGTAAGGTCTGGCAGTTATTGATATCAGAATCAGAATTCCTTTGTTGGCCCGCAACGAGGAAATATACATTATTACAATAGCAGAAGTATAGTGGAGATAAAGTGAAGAGAATAGACTTACATATTAAAAAAGAATTAAGTATGCACATGATGTTAATAATAAAAAACACAGTGAGTAAGACAAATAAATAGCAGATAGGTACACTAGGATAAAAAAAGAAAGAAAATACATTTAAAAAGTAGCAGGATATAAAAAAAAAAGGTACCATATAAAATAAAGAGTTAGCTGGTACTGTTTGCAGATAGTAAATCAATTGAAAGAACAAATAGAGCGTGAATTGCACGAGGGCATACATGTGTGTATATTACGTTTTATGTTCACAGGCAGTGTTATTTTACAAAATCAGTACTGGAAGCCTGTTTCCTATATTATAAGTATTTCCTACATTTAAACCACTGATTTGTGGCTGTACATCAGACATGCTTGTTAACACAAATCGTCTTTACCTTATCTTAGTTTAAAGATCTCCTATCATGCTATTGTTAGGCATATATTATGGGTCTCAGATATACAAATATATAAAAAACATGTCTATGACGTGTTTTGCTCAAAATACCAAACAGATCATGCTTTTTAGACATCCCTCATATCCCTCTGTTTCAGCCCTGTTTATGGCACTTTTCCACTGCAAGGCCTCGCACGGCTTAGTACAGTATGGTTAGGCCTTGGTAGGCCAGGCTCACTTTATGCTGCGTTTCCATTACAGTTTAGTACCTGGGGTAGTAACTATAGTAACACAGTGTAGGTGGGGCGATCGGCTGTTCGGCGGGCGGAGCGACGCTGCGTAAAACTGCCGTGACGTCATCTTCAATGCGAACCACAAAACCAAAACATCAGCCGTTAGCTGTTAGCACTCAGAGCTCACAGCTCTTCATATCTGTTCAGAAAGTAGACAAAAGTTAAACAAGTACAAACCACAGACTGTCTGTGTCATGGCGAATACAGTCGCTGGTTTATTTATGTCTGTAGGCCGTTGTTGTGAGTGTGGACGGTCGGAGCATATACAACGTTAGCTTAGCCGATCTCCATTCAGAAAACACGCATTTTAAAAGGTTTTTCACCTGCAGACCGGTATCAGTATGTTGTTACTTCGGCATCATTTTGAAACGTGTATTACAATTAAATCACGGTAAAATATGTTCATTTTGTTGTAGTCCCCTTGCCAGCGATTCTCTCTGACCATTCAGCAGTCGAGAGTGTCCATGCTAAATGCTGCATATCATGTTCGAAACCACTTCAAGGATTATTTCTGAAACAGTATGGAGCTCAAATGCTTCTTTCCTTGCAGGTTTACTACTCTTGCAGGTTTAGCTCTGAGTGGTAGCGATGCTTGCTAATGTAAACAAAGACCATATTACGTCCAAAACACGTTGCGCATTGTTTCTGATAGCAACGTTTCTGATAGTGCTGTGGGTGTAAAGCCAGCCCACATTTCCGATATTACGTAATATCGGCATCAAGTCTGGATCAGCTCCGTTGTACCCCCATTTCTTTAGATCTGGGTACGGAGGAAAAGAGAGGGTTTTATTTTCTGACACTTTGTGAGTTCCCTGACACACCGGGGACACATATTTATGTATAAAAGACATCAATAAGGGCTTTTTTTTACATGATAGGACACCTTTGAGGAGCTCCAAGTTGTTGCAGCACAAAGGTCACCGTCTAAAAAGACTCCTTTAAACAAGATTCAATGGCAACTCTAGATTAGTTACACAGGAATGATGGAGTCCATATTGTGGTTTCTGACAAAGATCACAATGAAGACTCTAGAGGTTTCTCAATACTCAAATTTCCCCTCCTCGACACCTCGGTCCTCCGGTAGTGACCCGGAAATGAATTTCAGCGTGCCATTTTGAAGGACATCTAATTTCTCTAAATGCACTTCGAGGACCGAGCATCGAGCAGGCTCTCTGGAGGAGCTCTAACCGAGGAGACACTGATGCGTCCTCCACGGCTCCTCTGCGGATGCATTTCCGGGAACGGTGGAGTACAAAAGAGGCGTGACACACCGCTGGAATCATTTAAAAACCATGGCGGGAGCAAAGCACACATGTAAGTGTTGATAATGAAGAAGTGAAATGCGCGATTAAACTGCATTCCTTATTGACATTTCACCTGATATTCGTTATGTATGTATCCACATTTTAACTACACCCAATCCTGGTATAAGCATGCCATGATGTTTAAAAGTGCAAACCGATATTTATTGTTAAGAGTATTAAATCAACACAAACTTTGTTTAGCATTCAGCACTATCATTTGGTTTGGGCTATGTTGTTATATACACTAGAATCGCTCATTACAGAGTCTGTAAATCTTCCAAAAATATTTAAGCTACACCTTTTACTTTTCACAGGGACAGAGGAACACACTCTGACCCTCATTAACGTGAGGTCAGAGAATGACCAGCTTTTTACAAGCCGAAGGCACACTGCAAAGAAAGCCTGGGAGTGAGTGACATTTTCCTGGTTGGGAACAGATCCTTAGCATTTACATATTGGTGGTTACAATTGGTATTTTAATATTGTCTGTTGAACCTGTGAGTTTAAATATCAATTGCTTTGTTAGATGACACCTGTTGCTGCAGCAGACCTTATTAATTGCTGACCAGCTTGAAACCTCTCTTGTATCACTCAGGGAAATTCTAAAATTCTAAAGGCCCAAAGGCTGTGCGGTTTGGTAACCCCCACACAGATCGGGAAAAAGTGGGACAACTTAAAAAGAAAATACAAGGTAATAATTATGTTGTCATTTTTTCGTTTACTCTTGTGTGTCTGTGAAACCATGGTTGTGTCTGCTCAGCATGCTGATGTATAACTTTACTTCTTGTTTGTGTTTTTGTAGGAGTTGAGATGCCCCCCAACCGGGACAGGGACCGACAGGGGAGAGGCCACAGCAGCCACATGGCCGTATTTTACGGCCATGCATGAGGCCATCGGTGGGCCATCGGTGGGAGGCCATCCATCAACCCTCCCACCCTGATGGACTCGGCCACTGCTGCTGTGGCTTCTGGCAGTGGCTCAACATCCACTGAGGCTGTCCAGAGCCAGGCCACAGTGGAGGATGAGGAGGCCGCCAAGTCTGGCTCGGACAAGCAGGAGGATGTTGAGCCATCCACCTCTGCCACTCCCCTTCCCCGGAAAAAAAAAATGCAAAAAAATGCAAACCACAGCTGTTGCAGTTCCTGGAGGCGGCAGGCAGCCAGCGAGGAAACCTCTAAAAGGTTCCTCGAACTATTTGAGGAATTAGTGCGCAAAGAATAGTTTCCTTTGTTTTGGATTTGTTTTATTGTTTTGTGTGAAGTATACAAATATTTAAGTTTGTAATAAACATTTAGGTTTGTCGTTAAATCAAGCATGTAGCCTTCTTTACAGTTCGAAATACAGAACAAAAACCAACAACTGTTTACTGAAAAGATAGGAGATCTTTATCTTATACAAAGCTGAATATACATGTTATGATTGTGACGTGACTAAAAAGCCAACGTTTTGAAAGTCATTGTGCAACCCAAGGTATAACTGTCTACAGTCATACTAAAACTCATAATGACCACTTTCATTTCTGAATTTTAAATCTCCACCTCAAGTAATTCTGCGCCTAAACCAACCGTGTGTAAATTATCCAAATGCAATATCAGGGATGTTATATTAATAAAATACATCAATAGAAATTGAGTCAAGTTACTGCAGCTCAAGCCCAATAAGTACAATTACTAACACATGTACCTTCTTTCTTTTTAAGTTCAGTCAAAGCAATATTTTATCACTGAACATGACTCCATTTCAACACTAAACCTAACAATTTCAGATGAAATTCTGTGATGGCCTATTTCACATCCCATACAATTTGTAATAAAGACATGTGTCTGTAAAGCCCTTTGCTCTAAATAAACGTGAGCAAGGTGACATTGGAAATAAGGCTTATAAATGGCACAAACAAAAGAACCGAGTAATGCATCTGGCCAGTAAATGCATTTTTAACCTGACAACAAAGCTAATGGGTAACAAAAAAACTGGCCATAACAAAACATCCTCTTAGCAGTAATCGTGCTGCGGGTTGTGGTCAGGAGCCGAGATTTGGTCTGCCAGTCTGTCTCTCCAGCCCTGTCCACCTTGCACCCCCCTCACAGGACGAGGTGGAGACCTCTCCTCCTCCTCCTCCTCCTCCTCCTCCTCCTCCTCCTCCTCCTCCTCCTCCTCCTCCTCCTCCTCCTCCTCCTCCAAACACTTCAAGAATGTCTCCTGCAGTAAGGCAGATGTTGTGTAGGACACAGCAGTGACCACAGCAGGGACAAAGTTATGGTTCACCTCCAGGGCCTTCGTCAGGAGGCACCTCCATCGCACCTTCAGTTTCCCGAAAGTGCGCTCGATTATGCTGCACGCTTTGGCATGGCAGCCGTTGAATCGGCTCTGTACTCTCCCCTGTAGTGGCTCCCGATACGGGGTTACAATCACTATAGGCAGGGTGTACAATGCAGGGGTAGCCACCATCCCCCACAATGAAGTACCCTGGAGGAGGGTAAAGAGCCTCTTTATACAGGGCACTGTGTTTTAGGACACGGGTGTCGTGGACTGAGCCCGTAAATCCTACAAATGTTTGGAGGAATTTCCCCATCCCATCCCTGCCCGACCTCCTCCAGCTGGGAGAGTGTGGGTGCTGAACCTACAGGAAGAATAAAATGTACAGAGGTCAATACCTTTGTCCAGCAAACTAAACTCCTTTATCCCGCAATTTAAACTCTACATAAATATTCTGTCATAAGAAATGAAGCCATGGCTAAATCTGGTAGGCTACATTTGATGGTCTCAAGTGCTCGTGTTAACTAATGTGCATGGTCCCTTCTTGAATAAATACAACAACATAATAAAAAACACAACTTTCTCTCTGACAAACATGCTTTTTCTCTGACTCCCAGGCTTAGGCCGATGTGTCATGATTTTCTTGCTACAAGTAGTTGTTCATTTTTGTATTCAAATCAAACAAGCCAGCTATTTTCAACCATTTAAAACATTTTTAAACAAACACTCATAAATACCTCAAGATGAAGCAGGATGGCATTGCGCATTCTCGCATTCCAGCGCTGGGAACGGCGTCTTTCCTCACGGGATTTGGTTGTCTGCAGCTGGTTCCACTGCCATAAGGCGTATTGCAGTCTTCATAGCCTATATCTCAATATCTCCGTCGTGGTTGAGATATAAATCAGAGGTGTGCCTGTACCTTATATAGCCTGTCAGGTCCCTCATGATTCGATAATTGATTAGAAATTCGGTGCAGGTGTTTTGTCAAAGAGGTGTGACTTGATGACCTATGAGATCACTAAAACTTGAATAACAACGATGCACATATAAGGGAACATCTACATTTTATTTAGATTTTTCAAAGTAACATTTTTCATTTCAAAATGACTCAGTTTATATTATACTCCCTCCTTGTTCAACTAACTTCTCTTTCTGGTTGGGTCTGTTCACTCGTCATCAATTAAGTATTAAGGCTTAGTTTGATTATATACAGCTTCTTTCTTTTAAAAGAAAAAACTAGAGCAAGAACACATTATTTATAGATGACTGCTATTTATTTATTTTGATCTCGTTCAATCAGGAGCCTGATCCACAAAGGTGCATTGTGTTCTGGGTAATGTGTGTTTTACTCCAAATGTCATGGTCTTTCAAAATGTTTTAACAGCTTATCATCTTTTATAATATCAAACTTAACATTTGTCAAGGTGGTAACATTTGTTTTATTTAAATTACACTATATAACAACAGTGGTGGAATACATTTACTCAAGTACTGTACTTAAGTAAAACATTGAGGTACTTGTACTTTACTTGACCATTTTTTCACAATACTCTACTTTATACTTTTACTCCACCACATATAGTAGGCACATGTTGTACTTTTTACTCCACTACATTTTATTTTACAGATGTGGTTACTAGTTACTTTGCAGTTTTATATTATTAATATAAAAATATAAATCAGCTAAAACATGTTCATATATAATTATAGGTTAAGCTACTCAGTATAAAAAGTAATTGAAATTAACCCCACTTTTAAGTGCAACACTAAAGTGATGAACACATAAATTCATCAATATCTTTAATACAATTATACAAAATATTTACTGCTTAAATGCGGTAATTCTGCATAATGAGTACTTTTACTTTGGTAGTTAAAGTATTTTTGGTACCAATACTTTTTAACTTTAACTTAACAATATTGCAGCAATTGTATTCCACGTGCACTTGCATCCAACACCAGGATAATGAATACAGTTTAACAGAGGCGGTAAGTAACTAAGTACATTTACAAAGGTACTGTGCTTAAGTACAATTTTGAGATACGTGTACTTTACTTGAGTATTTTTCGATTTTATGCTACTTTGTACTTCTACCCCACTACAATTCAGAGGTAAATGGTGTACTTTTACTCCATTACATTTATTTAAGATCATTAGTTACTTTACAGATGTGGATGAATGATGTGAAATATAATCAAGTGTTGAATCAGACTGTAGTTCCACCTGGAGTAAATCCACCAGCTACCCTGCAGTATACAAAGTCATTCAAACTAGCTGCTCCTTTACCAGCTTTGAGAACACTTTCATGATCAATCATTATAAAACATATCATATATATTATTCTGAAATGGACCAATCTGCACAATGACTGAAAAAAATATCTGCCACTTCCTCACAGAGTCCCTCCTCCAACACACACGAACGCGCACATGACCAATGAGGGCACGAGATAAGTGTGTGCACAGATGGAAGGCTGACAGGCAGGTAGGCCATCCAGTTACTTTAGCCGGGCCGGCTAAACTGATTGGTCGTGCTCTCTACAGCGCTACGGCTTCCAGAGATGATATTTTTGTATGGATTTTTTGTCAAAGCACTTCAAATATTCATTGCTATCGGGATGTTAAGAGCATTCCATGGAATATAACAACAAGTGTATCTCGAGCCGGTTTCTCAAACGTACCTACCCCACCTTTAACTATATTTTGAAGCTAATACTTTTGTATTTTTACTTGAGTAATATTTTGAATGCATGGACTTTTACTTGTAACTTACTTGTACTTGTCATCAGTATACAAAAAAAAAGGTAACTGTATTCCCTTACAGTTACATAAAAACAATACGTAATCAGATTACTGTTATTTCCTAAAAATAGGGGATTACTTGCGGGATTACAATGTTACTGAAACTGAGCATTTTCTGTCAGCTCAGATTTAATTTCAGCTTTTTTGTAGTATGTGCTCATGTGTTTTATTGTTGGCGTATAGGCTACTGCCTGGATATGCTGAATGAAAGGCTTGTTTTCCTATCAATAAAATCATTTGTCATACTAAATATCTTGTTTTTTTCAAGGTTACATTGTTCTGTTGTTTTACATAATACAAATAAAAGCCATTTTATTGTTAATTATTTTCTCTTGTATTTATTAGCATTGCATTTGATATTGAGGTAATCCAAAAGTAACGGAAATATACTCAGACCTTGTAGTGTAGGAATATTCTGTTACAAGTAAAAGTCCTGCATTCAATGTTGCTCCCATGAGTAGCCATGAGACCTTGTTTAGCTAAGATGATGGAATTTAAGGACATCATACAATTGTAATATTTTGCAAAACTATTGTTTAATTTTTCCAAAATAATTGTTTACTATAAGTAATTCATGCAACAGAGTTGAAATGTAGAGCTTGACAATCTCAATGTGACAATAAAAAAATAGTAAAAGTACAAAAGTATTAGCATCAAAATATACTTAAAGTACAAAAAGTAATATTTTATAAATAAAAGCTAAATAAAAATAGTGCACAAAAAAACTGAGTCAAATAGATTAGAATCAAATATAATATGCAGCTAGTTTTAATTATCTTTATATACTGCAGGGTAGCTTGTGAATTTACTCCAGGTGTCTTATTTAAGTGTTGATTATATTTCACATCATTAATCCAAATCTGTTAAGTAACTAAAATACTAAATAAATGTAGTGGAGTAAAAGCACACAAGGATTTGTAGCAGATTAGAAGTAGCCTACAAAGCACCATAAAATGGAAATACTCAAGTCAAGTATAAATCTCAAAATTGTACTAAGTACAGTAGCATACTTGAGTAGGCCTATCTACTTAGTTTGGTGATTCTCTGAAT